CGGGACCGATCAGCAGGGAAGAGGTAGGAATTCTGCATGTTTGTTGATCAACTTCATTTTGCATGACAATCCACGAATCTGGCAGCTTGTAGATTAGATGTTTGGGTGCAATTTGTTGGGGTCGTTCTAGTTCTAAGTGGGGAGTGGGTGATAGAGGCACGTCATGTTTTTCGATGCCTGAAGTCGAATGGGCCATCCTTGGCTGTCCATCAGCAGTACAGGACAGGTGCTCGCAGTTCAGCAAGGTTCGAATTGAGTCTCCAGAAATGATTCGTGTTTGGGGACGCCCACGCACCCCAAATCCTGAGTTCACCTTGGGAGCCGCGCCCAGTGCCTGTTTACACAGCAACTATGATATATGCTATGCATGAGAACAAGCGCCAATTAGCAACGTAATTGATTAATATACATTTCGCTACGCAGTGTTTCTTTTGCCAGATGTTCTATTTTGTGGTATTTGACATTTGTGTCATTTCAACACTCCGGTCTTGATGTGACCACGCCTCGTTGTTCGTGACCCACGCTCGAAAAGAGGGCCTTGGCGTCGGTCTTTCGCCCCTGTGAAATTTAGGGCGTGTTGTTCGTTTCGCACCCTTCCCATCTTCACGTTCTTTGCAAGACCGCATACCCATCACTCGCGCAGGAGCAAAAGAGCCACTGACAGGGATGCGAGGCATGGTCCGCGGACAAATGCGGACAATGTTTTACCAGTTTGGCCGCAGTGAACGATGGATTTGAGAGTGGCAGGTGCGAATCTTTGCAGAAACCAATGCACGGTAGTTTAGTCATATGGTCACACATGGGTAGGACATAAGGACCACCTAGCATTGATACCCATAGAGGCCATTTGCAGCAGATAGAACACCCAGTTTGGGCCATGGCACTGTTTGAATTGAAACAAGAAAGTTGATACTCGTACAGTTTGATACAGTACCATGTGTATTTATTTGGCTGGGAGGTGTTGCAAAGTAGTTTATTGTTGATGGTTCCTCGCAGTTTTGATTCTTGAAATGCACATTGTAAGGTCAAGTTCTTGGACAAGTTGTTAATTCTATCAGGCCACTACCATCCATGTTGCCTGCTCACCACGACCAACAAGTCAATAAGCAGCTGCAGGATGGAAAAGCTCTACAACAAGGAATGTGCTGCCTTGAGCATCTTGGACAGATTCGCTGATCTCTTATTTTTTCAGGTATTTTTGGGGCAACTCTATACTCTCACAGGCGAGTTGCGAGGAAGCTTTACAGAAGCAGCCTCAGTCAGAGCTGGAACCTATCCGCTAGAAGACCCTCAGAGATGACTGTCATTATTATGTTGCTTATATATGTATAATAACAATACTCTATTCGTATATCTAATCACATCATAATATATATATATATATATTAATCAGTCACCCTTTCATGTTTGTTGGTGCATTACTATTGCTTTTGTAGTATGTACAGCACTTAAAAGGCCAAACTTGAAATCCAAGCTGCATGGTGTTCTGTTCCCTCCCAAGAATGTTTGCGGCACCAAAGCTCGCCACCGTCCGTGGTTTGTTCGTGGAACTCGACAGGACGGCCGGTTCGTACTTGTAGCGAAGCTTGACGTCCTGAGGAGTTGCCTTCGAGAAGCTCGAAGCAGGGCAACAGGCGAGTTCTGTTTTTGTTATTTCCGCAAACAATGTGCTCTCGTGCTCGCATGTTTGTGCTCCTACTTGTACTATTACTAGGAACAAGGACGCTACTAGGGGCTCCTGGCCCTACTCTGGAAGTTCGCTTCTTCACTCTTGCTTGGGGTATCTTGCTGGCATAATTTTCCCACGTCACGGTTCCTCTTCATGGGGCTCCGAATAGATATCAGATGCTATCAGTATTGCAACATGATGATGTTTTGTTGACGGGTTTGTATTTGTTCATTTTTTAGAAGTTTCTTCTGAAGAAGCAAAAAAAGAACCAGCACGCTATGTATTTCAACAAGTACTGTATGTGGTGAAGATTGACAAGTTACATTTGAACAAGCAGCGAAGTGGAGCCTTGACTGAGAGTGTTCGCATTCAACCAGACCAAGACCTTGGATGCCTGATCTTTTTGCTTCTTTACACTGGATGCAAACCTGGAGGCCCTTCAGCAACCTTGCGACGCCTTCGCACTCTCAACTTTCGCCGCAACACCATAATTGTTAGACTCATGTTCCTTGCGGTGGCGGCCAAGGTTACGCATTGGTATGGGCTGACTGATGCTTGAAAGACGACCGTATCCGAGAAGAATGGTTCGACCAATGCTACCGATCTTAGAAGCAGGTGAGTCATAGCGCACGTTGAATGGTTTCAGCACACATCAAAAGAAAGCTGCTGGAGCTTGGTCCAGATAATGTCCCAGAACTTGAGCGTCAGGCTTCCTTCACATAGCCATTGCTGAGGTGGTAGGGCTTGATTGATCAGCATGTTTGGTGATGCAGGTAGCAACGCATCTAATGACAAATGTGTAGACTGCCTGAAACTCTGCTGCGCATTTGCACACACAGTCAGTCATGCTGTGTTTTGTTTTTGCCAGTGCAGTTATGAAATCAGCACGTTGTGCTTTGCCATTGTTTGCCTGCGTAAGTTGTTTGATGCACCGTCCTGACACATTGTAAGACAACATGCACAGTGAGTATGTCACCTGGAGCTGTTTACCGCAAGAAGACAGAGAGCTAGAAACGTACATGTTTGTAACCATCACGGTACCCAGTTGTTGTTTGATACAACCAGACAACGCAAATACCTTCCCAAATGCACAGTGTCACATGTGTCCTTGGTCCGTCACATGTGTTCCTTCTGTGTTTTTGGAGGTGAAATCGGCCCCGCGGGAGATTTACGATCCCTTGGCATACTTGGAAGCCGCAGGGTTTGCCCAGCCCGACGGAGAGGTGGTCGGCGTGGGAGAAAAGGTGAAGGTGCACAATGACAGGTGCATGCAAGGTGCCCGTTTGGATGTACCATTGATATATATATATATATGATTTGATTTAATGGCTTCTACCGAAAAACCATTGACTTTACGCAGAATGTATATCATTTATATTACCAGTATATTATTTATAGACTACAAAGCCAGGTCAACCTTTCTTTGAATGGTCTTGGAAGGCTGGGTTTTGATTGAGGGTCCCCCACCGTCCATAATGAAGCTGGAATAGCGGGATTGATTGCAACCATATGAACTAACACACCACGAAGATTCATGAGGTTCGCGCCATGTTCAGTGGCTTGGCCGGTTCTTTATTTACTTTCATGTGGCTTTTACTGCCCCCAGTGAATCACGGATGACCTGACATCATTCAAGACGAACGGAAAACAAACGGTGGCTCCAGGGCCTTCATATTTGCTCCATCTTGAAGTGCCGCGACTTGCCTTTCTTGGGGTCGCTGCCGTCGATTCGCTTTGATGGCTGGCACTAGAACAAAGATCAGAGGTATTTGCCAATAATAATAATAAGTAGTTGCGTGGGTGTTGCTAATACATTTGGCTAATACGTTTGGCCACTCTGGCGTAGATATTGAGGGACCTTACAACCATGTGCTTGTCTTGACTTGAGTATACTTCAACTCTTTTTTCTTCGATGAATGAATCTCTCCAGAATCGTTTTTGTGCGTGTCTCTCCGATGGGGTTAAACTCCACTGTGTGAATCCAGACTCCATCCTGATTGCTGTTTAGTTCAACTATGTTCAACTTGTCCCGTAGGATTCTTGTGGATTCTCCCATTCTCGTCTCCCCAAATCACTAAGCGTCATCTACCGCAGCGCCGCTGATACTGTTATTTGGGAAGCCCTGTCTTTAAAGCCCTTGGGAACCACACACGAGGAGGAGCGCGGCTGCCTCTTGAGCCTTTTGGAGGAGAAAATGGAGGACACCACACCCCCGCACAGCTGCTCATTTCGCTTCGCGCCACCAGGAATTGAAGGTGGTAGACCTGGAGCCCCGAAAATCCGTGTTTTCTGACCAAACATTTGTTCAGAAACCAGTTTAGCCAAAAAAATAACCCGGCCTGTTTCAATCTCGCCGGTGGCAATTTGGGGGCCTAACTTTGAATGGAATTTTGGATGTTTGATTTGTTTTGAGAAATGCTAGACAGCATAGTGGGATGTGTTGGCCTTTTTGGGTCGCAAGCAGAGGAAGGAACAGTGCCGTTGCACCTCACGGCATGTGTGTCGGTCACAAATCTGTTTTAGTGCAGTTTCAGCAAAGTTCTTGGGTGTTGAACCAAAAGTCTTCAGAGGAAGCTGTGCTTGGATTTGTTGATCTTTGGCCCGCGCAGCCGTCCATGCGGTTGGGCTGTGCTTGGATTTGTTGATCTTTGGCCGCGCAGCCGTCCATGCGGTTGAAGACCATCATGAGTGGAATTGTGTTCTTCTGAGATGCTGTCATCCTCATGACATGGCCAGAATGTCTTTCCTTCACAGCTCGCACATGAGAAGAATGGCTGGGGAGGAGGTGCACATGTCCGGGAGGCCAACATTGCCGTTGATGGACATGTTACTGCACCAAATGTTCAGTATATGTTTTGCCACACTGCCAGATCTGCCTTGAGAGCCAGGAGAATGCCCCAACAGTGCACACCCAGGCAGTCATGTAGGTCTGGTCTCAGCAGTTGCGAGTGTCCCGGTATTGGTCATGGACTTTGGGTTGGTCCCTTTGCTTGGTGCTTTACTAGCACGAAGTCCAAATATCATAGACAGGCAGGAGTTCTTCTCGTAGTAGCCCCCCTCCACAAGATGTTTTCTTTGGGGAAACCACAGCACTACCTTTGCGCTTCCCTAGCATCAACCACAAAACACTCCAGATGTTCCCGTATTTCAAGGCGTTCCAAGGACGGACACATGCATGGATGGACACCGGACAGTTTCGGATGGCGGTCTGGGTCAGATCTGTGCTGTCGATTTACATTGGTTTGATCCATTCACCTGTGAGATACTGGGAAACTGGAGGCAGTTTATTCCCTTCAAGGGCCAGCCGGCCCGCAAACCCACCATCAGATCAGCTGGGAGCATCGCCACCCTCCTTGCCGTCGGGCCGCTTGTGCTTCGCCATGTCGGATGGAACTGGAAGATATGCTGTGCCCAGCCATGCCGCATCCCTGCTGGACGTGCGGGCGAAGCGAAGAGAGGCCAGCTGAAGGGGGTCAGTTGAAAACACCGAACAGTGGTTGTGGGGCATGGTTCATTCATGCAAGGATTCACAGTCCGACAGAAATACTCAAACCTCAAGAGACTGATGACTGGTGGGGTCCTGACATTCAATTGAAATGTCTACTGTATTAATTATTTTCTATGTACAAATAGGATATGAGCAACTGCATTTATTTGATGTTATTTGTATACCAACCTAGATAGTAGCTTGGAGGTGGCCGCATTATGTTTCTCCAAAACGTTGCGGCCCCGCTGAACGAGGTAGGGGTAAGCTAGTGGGTAAGCTACAAAACGAGATCTCCTGTACGCGTATAGTGCTGTGGCATCAAAGTCACGTAGAAAACTTTAAAACGAGACTCCAGACAAGCACCAATATCAAATTCAATTGAACGAGATGTGGGCAATACGACCGTTATATTTAGTGTTAAATAAAAGTCGTTGCTCGATAAACAACAATAGATACTATAGATAGATAAATAGATAGATAGAGAAATAGATAGAGAAATAGATAGATAGATAGATAGATAGATAAGAAAGATAGATAGATAGATAGATAGTTTTTGAGTATTGAGTTTGAGGCGCTCGTCGGGAGTCCGTCGAATGCGTGGGCACAGAGAACAGGTGTCTCCGGCTGACTTAAGAGTCAGTCATGCACCGTGGTGCGCTGCCGTAGTATACTGGTCATTTCGACCTTGAACAATCAAACACTAAAAACACATTCTGCTCCAAAAACCACTTTGGCGAGAGCAGAAGAGAAGTTCAAGGTGACTGAACAGCTAAGCACAAAGCTGCCAGTTCATGGTGCAGCCGTTCCAAGGTGCTCAATCTCCACTCGGAGAGGGCTCACATGGAAAAAACAAACGCCAGGTGTCGTGTGAAGAGCAGCCAGTTGACAATCCAATCTCAGCCATTGAAAAAGGACAGGGAGAACATGGCAAGTCGAGCAGTCCCGGTTAGTGTGTTCCTCATTCACATCCCTCTCCTCTTCAACAATTGGCCACGGTTCCGATGGCAACGATGACCAGGTTGTGTGGCTGTACTGATCCAGCGAGGGGCCAGTTTCACCTGTGGATTGCACCGGATTCTCCAGCTCGCGCTGTGTACGATTTCGTACCTGCAGAACCGCACCTGCACGGCCTTCAATCTGCTGCCAATAGTCCACTCGGGTGGCTTGGTAGTAGATCTCGAAGGGCAACCTGACTTGAGTCTGTGTATGAACCCAGTCGATGACTTCAGACACATATTCGTATTGCTGCGCTCGCATCACCACATGGACCTGATGCACCTCAATGACAACTTGCACAACCAGAGGCAAGACTGAATTTTCCAAATGCTGTCCAACCACGATGGCCGGCATATTCTGGTATAGTTCAGTCTGACCTGGAAAGGCTCTGGTGAATGCATGGTCAAATTGGAAGGCATATTCCTCACACGAGTGATAGATGTGATAGATCGCAGCTTGGTCGTCCAGCGCCCAACTAGGGCAATAAACTCCGCTTGTGACAGTTGCTCCTCTTCTCAGAGCCAGCAATTGTACCAATATCTGTGTGTGGCCAGGTGCACCTGCTCTGTCATATTCGCAGAGATATTGTCGAACCTGTCTCCAAGTTGTGACCCAGTCAAAATCAGTGTTCCGAGTCTCACCACTGAAGCCCGACACAGCGGCGGACCGTCCTTTGCTTGTCGAGCTCCCGGCCAGATCCGAAACATCATGTCCACCTCTCCTCTTGCACCCGCAGGACGTTGCATCAGCACCACTTCATCACATAGAGCCTGCTCCTCTGACTCCAAAGAAACAATGTCAGGACCTTCCTCAACTTGCAAGATGCCCTCGACTCTGTGCAGAAGAGGTGACTGATCATCTACATCTGCTTGCTCGAGGGCAGTCACTTGTAAGCTAGGAAGAAGCAGTGCATCAATGCATTGTGGAGCTGAGCCCATTGAAGAACTTCGATGAATCCGGGAGAAGTCAAGCTCATGTTGGCAAACGCTGGGCCGTTTGCCAACCCTGCTCTTTCCCACTCCTATTTTCAAAAACCATACCAACAAGGCCAAAATGCAGAGTGGACCCGGAATTGGGACCGGGCGGTGAACAAGCAGCTTGTGACAATGTCAAGGTCAGCAGGAGGGTGCGCAAAGATCCAGCTGCCGGGTGGCTTCATGGCGATCACATCACGGAAAACGTGGCCAGGACTAGCCGCTTGCACCGAAAGGTAGTAGATAGATAGATAGATAGGTAGTTTTTGAGTTTGAGGCGCTCGTCGAAAGTCCGTTGAATGCGTGGGCACAGAGAGCAGGTGTCTCCGGCTGACTTAAGAGTCAGTCATGCACCGTGGTGCGCTGCCGTAGTATACTGGTCATTTCGACCTTGAACAATCAAACACTAAAAACACATTCTGCTCCAAAAACCACTTTGGCGAGAGCAGAAGAGAAGTTCAAGGTGACTGAACAGCTAAGCACAAAGCTGCCAGTTCATGGTGCAGCCGTTCCAAGGTGCTCAATCTCCATTCGGAGAGGGCTCACATGGAAAAAACAAACGCCAGGTGTCGTGTGAAGAGCAGCCAGTTCACTATCCAATCTCAGCCATTGAAAAAGGACAGGGAGAACATGGCAAGTCGAGCAGTCCCGGTTCAGACATCGTGAACCCCATGCAGAAGAGTGTGTTCCTCATTTACATCCCTCTCCTCTTCTTCAACAATTGGCCACGGCTCCGATGGCAACGATGACCAGGTTGTGTGGCTGTACTGATCCAGCGAGGGGCCAGTTTCACCTGTGGATTGCACTGGATTCTCCAGCTCGCGCTGTGTACGATTTCGTACCTGCAGAACCGCACCTGCACGGACTTCAATCTGCTGCCAATAGTCCACTCGGGTGGCTTGGTAGTAGATCTCGAAGGGCAACCTGACTTGAGTCTGTGTATGAACCCAGTCGATGACTTCAGACACATATTACTATTGCTGCGCTCGCATCACCACATGGACCTGATGCACCTCAATGACAACTTGCACAACCAGAGGCAAGACTGAATTTTTCAATTGCTGTACAACCATGATGGCCGGCATATTCTGGTATAGTTCAGTCTGACCTGGAAAGGCTCTGGTGAGTGCATGGTCAAATTGGAAGGCATATTCCTCACACCAGTCATAGATGTGATAGATCGCAGCTTGGTCGTCCAGCGCCCAACTAGGGCAATAAACTCCGCTTGTGACAGTTGCTCCTCTTCTCAGAGCCAGCAAATGTACCAATATCTGCGAGTGGCCCGGTGCACCTGCTCTGTCATATTCGCAGAGATATTGTCGAACCTGTCTCCAAGTTGTGACCCAGTCAAAATCAGTGTTCCGAGTCTCACCACTGAAGCCCGACACAGCAGCGGACCGTCCTCTGCTTGTCGGGCTCCCGGCCAGATCCGAAACATCATGTCCACCTCTCCTCTTGCACCCGCAGGACGTTGCATCAGCACCACTTCATCACATTAGAGCCTGCTCCTCTGACTCCAAAGAAACAATGTCAGGACCTTCCTCAACTTGCAAGATTCCCTCGACTGTGCAGAAGAGGTGACTGATCATCTACATCTGCTTGCTCGAGGGCAGTCACTTGTAAGCTAGGAAGAAGCAGTGCATCAAATCATTGGAGCTGAGCCCATTGAAGAACTTCGACGAATCCAGGAGAAGTCAACCTCATGTTCACAATGGACATACGAGATCTGGATGGTCTGGTCGTTCGTGCAGGTCCAGGCAATGGAGTTGTGGCTGAGCTCAACACAGCAGGCAGGCCAAAAAGCGTCTTGCCTCGATGTAGCTCCATGCCATCCATAGCCTGGCACCTCTGAGCCCTTTTGAAGCTTCTCTTCTTTGCGACACTGATCCCGTCAGATCCATTTTGCCCTTCGCCCAGTTGTTCAGGGGGTGCTTCACTTCCCCTAGTATCCCTACCCCTTTCAGGCAAACCCTGGGCCGTTTGCCAACCCTGCTCTTTCCCACTCCTATTTTCAAAAACCATACCAACAAGGCCAAGATGCAGAGTGGACCCGGAATTGGGACCGGGCGGTGAACAAGCAGCTTGTGGCAATGTCAAGGTCAGCAGGAGGATGCACAACATCCACGGGGGGCCCGGACCCCCAAAGATCCAGCTGCCGGGTGGCTTCATGGCGATCACATCACGGAAAACGTGGCCAGGAATAGCCGCTTGCACCGAAAGGCTGGTAGATAGGTAGATAGGTAGATAAATAGATAGATAGATGTTACAGATAAACAAACAGAGGATGAGATTCATTTCCACTTTTGTTTTGATGGCTCGCTTCAAGATCGGCAGCCACACCGGCCAATGGCTCTCTCCAGGCCTATCAGTCTCAACGAAGCGGCTGGGGATCTTGCGGCAGGTAGGATGGCTGTACGGATGCGGAGAGTTGAAGTTGCTGAATTGCAGCCTCAAGCCGGGAAACTTCACACTGCTTAGTGAATCCAGTGATTACAGTACGTAATTATATATACTCAGACATCCCATTCTCGGGAGAGATGTTCTCTACAAAATACCTTAGTGGTCTATTCACCGGGTATGACTGTTCGACATTCGATTGAGTTTGAGATAGTTTGAGCACATCAGGACCATGTCTCACATGCTTGGGCACCTGCTTGTGAAAGCGAGGAGATATGGTGCCGCCTTTTTTCTGGTGGACGTGGAGCCTCGAAGAGTTGTTGGGAGGAATGGACCGAGTCACGTTGAGCACGCCAACAGTCCGACAACACTGGAGTCTGAAGCTGTGATCTTGCATCCTCCCGGGCTCTTTTTTGGGAGAAATGACCCCGGAGGGCTCTTCAATTTCAAAAATGACCCCGGAGGGCCCGGAGGGTTTGATCCGCTGTGTTCCTTTGGCGTACGATGTCTGGCATTGTTTGGCAGAGTCGGGACATCAGTTTGAAGCAGTCGGACATGTTTGTTCTGTGTAAGAAGTTCGAAGCTTACGGAGTGAATTGTGAGAGAGCCTATGCATCAATCGAGATTCGGGCAAGTTACGCCTGATCAAGACCACATGATGGGGGATCAATGACCACAGGCTTCGTCGGTGACCCAAGGGTTCAAATCGATGCGACCAACACCTCTGGTCTTTGGAACGAACGAAACCACACATGGAAGTTCTTCTCTGCCAACTGATGAGGACCTTTGTTCAAATGATGAACCCCGGCCTTATTCATGGCAATCCTTCCAAGCCAGGGGAGTCCGGCTGATTTTGGGGAGTTCCACGTGGGATCTCATAGATATGTAGTGAAGAGCTATGAAGAGTTTTCTCACCATTGATCCCCAGGCTCACTGTGTCATCGGAAAAGACCGGTATGATAAAGCTTTGTCCGGCGCACTGAGAAACATGTTGATAAAACATGCTTAAACTGTAGTACCCTCTCTTTTCACCAAAATGGAACTCACCGGTGGGCGACTTCCTGCGCAATTTTCCCCCCTCACATGCCGAGCATGAGGTGCTTTGCCCCGTCTTCGCTCTCTTCTCCGTGCACCTTGGAAGAAGGCGACGGTTCGAGGACGTAGGCACCTAGGCGCTTTCTTTTCTATGGTTGTCAAACCCAGCTTTGTCCTAAGCATAGTAATGGTACAGTTTGTCCTGTCTACAATTCCTTTCAGTACTTGTCATAAGTCACATGATTTCCGCTTGTGCAAAGCGAGGTTCCGACAGCTGCTTCGCCTTTGGTGGAAGTCCTTCACCGCTTGGCACGGTCTCCCAGACCGTGCGGACTCGGTGACAACTGGAGCACGAGCTGATGGTCTTTTACCGACCAAAGGTATAGGTTCTGTACGACCACGGAGATATATTTGTTGGAACTATATGCAGTACGTAATTAGTTCAGTGTCCGGAGAATGTCTGAATATCGATGAGTGGCTTTGCTGGATCTCGCTACACAGCTCTTCATGCAGTGCTTGCGAGCTGGACAGCGCCACCAATTCCTCACTTCGCTTATGGGATCCCATCTCAGCTGAGGCTCTCATGCATGGATTGCCACTTCTTCCTTGGCGCTCTGGCGGTGGGGAACTGAGTGTCTTGGGAACTGAGCGGCTCCTGGGCATCCGAGCTTCATGACCCTATTGCTAAAGGCTTGCTCCAACATGTCATCCATTGTTACTGCCGCGATTTGCACCAAGTGACCGGGTTCGATCCAAGCAATATGAAGCAATGACCCGATCCATGCCTTTCAACATCCGCTTTTGGTACGTTCCGTGAATTCAAACATGGGACCTGGATGGAGGAGAGATAGCAAAGCTTCCCACTCAAAAGGTCACATCAATGAAGTGAGGGTCAAACTGCTAGATACGTTGCGAAGGTTGGACAAAGAGGATCAAACCTCAATCCGGGGTGAAGGTTGATCCATGGTTTTTGGGGTTTATTGTTGACACCACCGAGTGTGTTCCTGTTTGAAACTTTTCGGGCACCGTCTTGGTCCAAGTTGGACGGCAACAATACCAACCCACATTTGATGGGGGCGGGACAGTTTAGAATGATTTAGAACGTTTCAACCCATTGGGGTCTCCACATCTTGACGTGACACTCATCTCTACAACCATCCCCAGGCCCCAGACCATCTATTATGTTTGGAATAGTTATAGTTATACTTACTTACTTATATACTTTTACCCCATTTATACGATTTCTAACCCCAATGTAGGTCACAGAAATCACTCTTCCCGTTCCATGGATCGTTTGATATCTACCCACGGGACCCACGGGACCGTGTGCTTCGGCAGGCGGTTTTGCTGTGTGCTTGGACGGCCTGGCAGAGCTGTGATGCTCCGGCACAGCTATCCAGCGTTCAAGCGGCGCCTCGTGTGTTGCTTCTGTGTTGCTTCGCAAAATGGGGGCAACCTCAGAAAGGCTCGTTGATTGACACATTGACATATATTGACCGTGATTTATGGAAACAAATAATGTCCGATTTTATAGGTTTTAGAATGATTTAGAGATATTATTGGGAGCTCTCATTTTGGTTAAGATGCAGCTGAGCACTGGTCTTTTATAATGGGTAATTATTCATCTCTCGGACTGCATCACTGCACCGCTTGGAAATGCGAAAGGCAATTCATGTAATCTGCGAATCACCGCAGCCTCCTTTTCACATGCACACTACGGATTGTTTATTATTCATTTCCGGTCTCTTGTTGCGTTTGAGCCGGTATTTTTCCACGTGTGGAGAAAAACACATTTTGCAATCGATCCTGACAGTTTTGGGACCCCGCTTCGGATTTCTTTAATTGCTCAGCCAACCCGACTGACTCTTTACCCGACTTCGTTTCCAACACTGTTACCATTGCTGACCGAGGGCTATTGGACTGGGAAGGGCTATCGAGTTGCTGGTCAATTTGAGTCTCGCAGTTCACCTCGTTGCTTCAACCGTGTTCGTCCAACCGTTCTAGCTCCGGTTGTGCCTACATCCTGTCACGCCATCTGGGTGTGTGGGCTCTGGAGAGTTCAACGTGCTGTGTGCTTGCAAGACCCAAGCTGATGTCAGATTTGTGGAAGGAGCTTGGACGTGAGCGAACGTCAGGCCCCCCTCCTCGAACTTCTTCTCCAAACGTTAACCCTGGCAACCCACATGCCCTTTTGTTTCTGGCTTTGAGTGACAGATCAATGGCACCTCCAAAAAACACAAAAACATACAAACACAATGTACAAACCACTTTGGACTTGGCATATTCAATTCAGATGTGCGCACGGCCCCGGTTGGCGCCAATGCCCGTTTATGTTAGGATATTTATATAACGTATTTCAGACCAATTTATATACAGTATATAGTATATTTGGATTATTCTTGGGACCCCTGATTTTGAGAAATGCCCGTGTTTCAAGGATGTAGCCGATCATTGCCGTTCATGTGTGCAATATTTGGTATCTGTCAAGGGCTGGAGTGGCACAGCTTTCGCAAGGAGAGGAACACCCACCACTTGGTGGTCGTCCAAATGTTGGTATGGCTGCTCGCAGCTATGGATGCACTCCGACTCTCACACATGGAAGTGCATCGCGTTGCCCTTGTGAAAACGTCCCTTTTTTGTTAGAATAACCACATGGTTTCCCACGTTCACGTCATGTGTTTGTTTGAAATGTACGTTGGAGATCGCCAAGTCCCTGATAGACATAGGTCAAACACGAATAATAAGATTAATAAGAATAAGACCATCAAACATGACTTTGGACTATTGAACCAACCAATCAAGACCGATTCGCGGATGGCGAGCGACAGACCTCCGCCAGGAACCACACCTGGAGCGTCATCTTCGCTTAGTGGCTCGGCAGGTTGTGGGGGACCGTGGTCAGTGGAGCACTGCCCCGGATAAAAAGGGCCTCTTTGGTGAAAGACAACAGCAAGACATTTCTCCGTATAAGAAACGAATAGCGCCCAGGTGACATTGATGCCAAGGTGTCGTTATTTGTTACAACTAAAGCTACTGAATAGATACCTTAAATACCATAACAAGACAATTGATAGTTTGAGATAGATTGGGAGAGTTAAATCTTAGATGGCTTTAGTCTAGTCCCATCACTGCCATGGGCGGTTGCTCTTGACTGACTGATGGACAAATCCTCTTTGCAACACCTTGATGGGTATGTATGTTTGGGGTGATGTGAATCTGTTGTTTTGGTTTAGCGTTTAGAGCGCGAGCAACGTATTTTACCGGCATGACAAGCTGTGTTCTCACCAGCATCGAAAGTTAAAGCAATTGAATTCAACTTGTCCAGGTGTTTCATGGCTTCCGGGGCGACAGATGTCTAGAGATGGACTTGAAAAGGCTGAGACATGCAAAGTGCTGGAGTTGAGTTCAGACTGAACAAAGTTGCCTCCAAGGTGTGCAGCTTCGAATCTCCCTTGGCTTCGCAGGCATAAAATGCGCGCCACAAGAAAGGGGAGGAAGATCCACAAAAGACCGACCTTCCACTGACTTTTGGAATCGATTAAGATAGTGTGGCATTATGTGGCCTTGAATGCCGAAATCTTCACCATTTTCAAGAACATGTATACAGCATCCTTTCTGGAAAAACAAACTGTTTGCGGAGAACAGAGCTTGCTGGGCTGTATGGCTACCTGAAAGATCACCCCTTTACCTCTCAGTTGGGCGTTTGAGCGGTTATTGTAGACCTTTGCAGGCTGCCGATGCCATCAGGGTTGTTGTTTCTGTTGTTGGTGCCGGTGCGGGCGCCAAGAACATTTTTAATTGCATAATTGCCAATATTTGGGCGACCGAAATGTAAAAAACAAAGTTATACACCCCAGGAAACTATCATAGAACAGATTTCTGTTTTGAGGGACACTTGACATGGAACACGGTAACCGGTGAATTGCTGGGGAAACATGGTTTTTGCTCCTAAAGCCAAGCCAAAACGACGAATACATACAGTGGTTTTTGGCTCGACCTCCGGAAGCAGCTTGAAGCAGTGGCTTTCTTCTTCCCCAGCCCCCCCCGGGTTAGCTAAAGCTAACTGCCGTGGACACAGACACAGCTCTTTTCATCCTGGACAACACGTTTCCCAGAACAAGAGTTGACGGTCCGGCAGGAAAAAAGAATCTACTAGGGCTCCCTGTTTGGGGTGGTTAGTGAATACCCCTTGGCCCCTCTAAGGAGCTATAATTAGACACCCCTGGCCCGGGGGGCCCTGACAGCGCTCACCGGACTCCCTGGCAGGAGGCCCCGCTGGCCTCGCTCGCTTCTCCGCGAGCCCGTCAGTACGAAATGACTCGTTCAGGCCTGGGAGTTGCTCAAGAGCACCAGCAGCAGTCTGACGTCGCTGGGCTCATGGATCAAATGGAGAGAGGTGAGGATGCAAAGCTCTTGTATATAAAAGATCTTGAAGGGCCCTAGATCAAAAGGACACTCTTTATATACAAGATACTCACTCTTTATATACAAGATCTTTGATGATCTTTGTATTAGGGCCCTATATATAAAAGATCTTGAAGGGCACCAAAAAACACGGCTCTTGTGTCCGTCGCGGAGCTCGAAACGGACATCCGATTGGGCACAAGACCCTGCAAGAAACGCCCAACTGCAGGAGTTTCTGAACATGATTTGTTTGATGGGAAGAGGTGTAACGGACGGTGGACCTGAAGAGGTTATATATATCGGGTGCTCGGGCGACGGTGGAACGGGCTGGTGGCAGTCAAAAGAGCATTTCATGCTCGTTTAACGTTTGGAGTGAACAACAAAAAATCGTTAACAAATTTCAACATCAAATCAGCATGGGACAGAACATGACAGAAACGTTTGTTTGTGAAAGGAAGCCAAACAGTTGCGTTTGTAGTTTGTTTGGTATCAGTATGTAACATGATGATGTAACATGATAGTTTTGATATGCCAGTGTCTGGCCTAACATGTAAGTCATTTGTTTGCCTCTCATTTAGTTTCAATTTCATCCTACCTAGTGCTTCAATATAACTACTTCGCATTTACCACGCTGGCCTACATCTATTGATCCTGAGCTGTTTCCAAAGAAAACACTGCACAATTTTTGTTTGACCAAATTGTTCGCTCAAACTCCATGCGTTTTGTGTATTGACCTACAATATGTGTGTTGTTTTTCAGGTTCGGTCTATTCAATGTTTGGTTTCCTGTCAGATCCTGTCAACATGTTTCTTTGAGCATTGCGGCTTCGCTCCGCCAACCCAGGCTGCATTGGGTATGGTTTGTCGCTTCCCTTCAAGAGTGGCTTGCTTGAACTTGCGCATCCACCCACGCACCACCTTGACCGATAAAAGCGCGGCTGCGGCGTCAAAAAGAACATCGAACACTGTAGGTTCAGGCGTCTGTTGCATATGATTTTGTGGTTGGTTTTCTTAAGAGTGACGCTGTGACACCCATGATGGTCACGTAAAAACATCGTTGAGATTGTCCTAATTGATGCAGTTTGGAAGAAAGGAAGCGGTGCCAACACCTGCATGCTCCGGGACCCTAGTTTCAGAATGCAAGTCCAGTAACCTGCAGATTCCGTGGTCAACTGATCTAGATATTGGTACAAAGCGAGGATCCATTGCCCTATGTTTCTAGGATGAACCCCTAAAAACGAGGCATCCTAGAAACATAGGATTCAAACGATGCATCTATCTAAAAACGAGGCATCCATTGCCCTATGCCTTACTACTGGGAGCAAGGACGCTACTAGGAATAGAATGAGTAATGCATCAAAAAAGGGTTTCAGAGCGAACCCTACTCAGGATTGAACATCGCGTGGCATTGCTGCTGTTGCAGGGCCGATGCCCGTCGCCTGGTATGAACGGTGCCGGCAGCTTGGGGAATGGAATGGCAGACACAGACACGACCCAACTGTAGGTGAGCAAACCAGGGTGGAATTGCAGGTTAAAGAGCATGCACATGATGTACTTAGCCAAAACAACAAACAAGAAACAACAATGTTAATACAATGACGATAGGGTTCACCAAAACCCGCAAGGATTACCAGGGCATGAATCCACTGGGGTCACATGTCGTTTCTTCCTGTTTTGACCTGAAGGTCCCCGGGTGTTGTGGCAGAACAAGCACGAGCCTGATGAGCATGTCCCATTGATTGATTGGGGCGTGTTCTCACCTTCCTGTTGGCTGTACCCACGTTGGCTTCTCAGAACCTAAAAGTGGAGCATGCCATTTGCAGGCCACGTGCTTTGGCACATGGTCACCCCATGTGAACTCCAGGCCCGTTCCGATCACCACGGCACCAGGTTTCGTGACCTGGATGAAGCTCAACAAGCTTGCCAGTCGTGTCGGGAGTGTTTGGTTTCGCATCCAGCGAACTCACAAACGCTCTCGATGGATTCCAAGGGATTTGTGGCTGACACCGGTGAGTTGGCACAGATGCAGTAACCATTATAGCAAATCCGAGCATGACCTTGTTTTATCATTTTTTAGTGACTTCCTATAACCTATAACTACAGGGTTACCATGCTTTATGCTAAGATGAGCTGTATTGAAAAAATATTAATGATCAAATTGACATGTTTTGTTTAACCTTCAGGCCTTTTGTAGGATTTCACCGAGAAACAGTCGATGTTTGTCCAGATACATCCTATCGAACAAAACGGGGTGACAGCGGTGATGACGCAAGCAGGAAAACCGTCAAACTTCCAGGATTTTCTGAGGTGTGTTTCACACAGTTTAGGTGTTGAAGATGGTCAAATAGCCGTGACCGAGGGGCCTGGCCATACTTACTGGCTTTTGAAGCTCTACTTCCAAATGTTGAGACTTGGAAGACATACTTTGTTCAAGTCGTCCCCACTGCTTTTTGTTTCCAAGTCTCTATTAGCTGCATCGAGACGAGGTCCAGATTTGGTGTTGCTACGCCGTGCCCCCGACTGCCATGCTTTGCGCCACTTGAAGATGTACCTGATGTGACGGGAGTGGCCTTGTTTGAGCCATGGAGGGCTAGGTAAGCTTCACTCATTGGGGCAGATCTTGATAGACTTTAACTTCGACACTGCCGTACAGATCTTCAGAGTGTCAGTGTCGCATGCTGCAAGCATCAACGTCTATGTGCTAAAAGAATCTTAAATATGTTTACACATTGTTTCTCGACATGAGTATTTAAGTAGCCGGTCTTCATGTCCGTCCGCATCAGCTTTGCACCAAAGCTTCTTTTGATCCTGACCTCGATGTGGCAAAACAGAACCTACGACCTACATAGTGAATAGCTGCACAGGCTGTGCAGAGGTATTTGATGACAATGATATTCTTTTTTGCTAGCATCGGTTTGGCCAGCTATTAGGCAGATAGTGTGCATGGTCATGTAACAAGTTCGACAATGACCCCTCAGTTCTGTGCAGCAATCCTGGCAGCCGGCGAGATCCATCAGTGATCAGTGTTGGGCAGTGTTAGAGCAATTTCAACGACGAGCTCCATTGTTTGGAGAAGCAAACCGTGAGGATGTTGATAAAAGATAATAAAAGACGAGCGTCTTGAAAACCCGTCGAGCAAAAGCAAACAAGATGACCACAATGAAGAGTGATGAAGACATGGACGCTACGAACGGGACTCCTGGCCTTACTACGAACGGAGCGATCGGACGCGAACCGAGCGGGGCTGCGATGAAGATCGGTCAGGGTCTCGGTGAGGGGTTGGGTCTCGGTGAGGCAAAGCCTACCACGATGGTCAGCGACAAGTACATCCAGTGCCTTGACCCGAAAAGAGGGCCTCGAGTTGAGCAAGGTGTGTTGAGGTCACTGGGCCAAGGTTTGAACGTCCGACGTTGGGGAGATGTCTTTGGATTGTGCCTGGAAATGGCTTATTCCTTCCTCATGGGCAAGGTTGTGGCAATGAGAGTCAGAGCGCAGAGTGAGTCTGAGTTTGTTCTGCAGACCCACCTTCTTGCGATGGTACCGGATGTGAGTTTGCATGTACCCAACAACATGGCCAGAGGAGTCGACCACAGGGTTAGGTTTTTCTATGTTTTTCTTCACTGACCCAACAAGTGATGGAAAGAGCTACTGCTCGGGCATGTCGGTTTCACACCGTGTGCCACCCGCCATCCTTGGTAGCCAAAGACACCCTGCCTGCTCTGAGCAACTCTGAGCCATTTCTGAATGTGGGAGCCATTCTATAAGCTAGAGTCGTCTAATCGCTCGGGCGCTCGCGAGACCGCATTCTGGGAGGGCATTTTAGATGGATGCCGGGTGTTGCCGGTTGGGATTGTTCGGGTCTTCAACAGTGCTTGGTCCAGGTGTACGGGATGAACACGATTGAACACATGTTGGGTGGAGGTCAGAGGACTCAGACCAGCGATTTATGGGATGTTGGGGTGCGTCAAACCGAAGAAGCGATCCTACTTGGGGCTCTACTTGCTCAGGAGCAGCTACTTGGGAGGTCCACTCAGGTTCCATGGAAAACTGTCATACAATTTGGTCTCGTATCATTACAAGCGAGATGATAGATGTTCTTAAGAAACACCGATTGGTTTTCTTATTTATAGGGAGACCCCCAATCATTGAGAGGTCTTTGGAGGTCCGGTCTCCCTGTTTTAATACTGTAGACCTGAGCACATCGACGATTGAAGTGACCCATGCTTCTGAGGACCTCTTACGCTTGCAGCATCCGGCCTGTGCGGCAGAGCTGCTTCAGGTGGCGGACTCCGGGGTTGGGGCACCTTGGGGTTAGGAACGGGTGATTCACTGGGACAGCTGTGGGCGAAAGGTTGTATGTGGCTGATTAGGTTCTGGGTTTTGCAAAATCCTTTCAGTGTGACATAGCCTAGTTGGCTATTGTTAATAAAGAGGTAATTTATTAACCATGACTCCTCCACTAAAAAATAATTGGAGGGGGGATGACCTACGAATTAGATGTTCTCACGCAGAGAATATGTCGGAAAAATAAACAACAATTGCATGTTTCCAGTGTACCTTGTATCAAGCTAGGGTCATGTCTACGTTAGAAAAAACATCAAGAGGTGGTGGAGAGGTTGCACACCCCTCAATTACTGTAATTACCAAGATAGTTAGGTGAGGCCATCAACTTGCTGGTGCTTAAGCACGAGTGGATGAGTGAAGAACATGTGTTGGGAGCATGTTTCATTCAGATATTATGTCTATTCAACTTTGCTTAGGAAACTTCATGTTAGACCATTTTCAACAAAACATAGTATATTTAAATACAGACAGGAAAGACACAAGAAAAACTGTTGGTGATGCATCCCCCTACACTTCACCAGCCCTATGCTTGCCAACTAAACTAATCGACCCCTCCTCCAGAGGCCAACCCCCTGAATTATGCAATTTTGCTGTTTGGTTTTGAGAGTGATGGCTGCTTTCCTGCTTGGTTTGCACGCAGTGGCCACTTTCCTGCCTGGCTTTCAGTGTGGTTGCTGTTTTCCTGCCTGGTTTTTTGTGCCAATCAACCCCTCCTCCAGCGGCCAACACCCCCTGAATTGATGTTCGTTGCCTGGTTTTGAGTCTCGTGGCTGCTTTTCTGCTTGGTGTGCATGCAGTGGCCACTTTCCTGCCTGGTTTTTAGTGCGAGCAGAGTCTTTGAGCGCTGCTCACGTATGCGTGGCTGTGGATGGGGGGGGTTGCCACCTGGGGAGCGGAAATTAATTGAGGGCTTTTTGAGGGGTCGATGAGTTAGGGGGGGACGGGAGGGCCCACGACAAATGGTTGCGGTGTAGTGATACCTTCGATTCATTTCCACAGAACAGGCGGTTGCACTTCAATTGCTGTAATTGTTTTTATTTTTTTGGGGGGCGGGGCTTCCGGGACCCATATAACATAGGGTCCATAATTAGCAACTTCCCTAAGTGAGGTGGCATCCTGCTTCTGGAACCTTCTGCCTCATTCCAGTCTGAAAACTGCCTCCAGATCTTTCAAGGATGTGTCGTCAGTCCGAACAGTTTGATCATCACCCAGCAGTTGTGACGATACTTGGCCATTTGCATGTCATGTTTGTAGTCGCAGCTGAAATTCATACAGGCCAAGAGCATGCAACCCGACTGAAATTATCCAGGCCCCTTCCAAATGTTGATGAAACTCTAAAACTGGCCTTCACCATCTCAAACTTGACTCTTGACGCTGGTGGTGAGTGCCCCTGCCCTTTGGCTGAAACACACCCTTTTTTCCCATTTCTTTGTGAATCTTCCACGACCCCAGGCCTGCAGCGTGGCATTGAACCTCGCCTTCGATACGCGGCGCCACGAGCTGAATTGCCCGGGCGCGCGGTGAAAAAGGTGGTCGAAACCACGCCGTGAAACCCTGCGACTTTGCACGTGATTCGTAGGGTTTTGGACGTTTTGGTGTTTGTTTTTGGTCGAAATTACACAGGTCAGACCTTCACCTGTGGCTGTGCTGATGTGTGATTTTTCCTCCTCGGCTACAGGGAATGCATGCTCAAATGGATGAAATTGTTTTTGCTTCAGCAGGTGTTCTGTCCCATCACAGAATTACAGTAATTTGTTGTGAATTGAGGAGGTGTTCTATCCCACAAGAGATCTGCTGCTGCAACTGCTGTATAGATGTTCCTCAGTCGACTTCTTTGTGCAGGAAATCTTCAAGAGCCGTCCCGAGTTGCTCTGCAGCATCGACCACGAGGAATACCAGCGGCTGCAGGAGCGCGTTCGCGGCATGTTAGATGAACGTTGGTTTGGCACTGTGCATCTCGAAGTAGGTCAGATGGTGGGGAGAGACTTCACAGCAACTTTCCGAGGAAAAAACAACGACTGTCACGTCCTGGTTTAGCCTCATAGCCAAGGCTTCCACGGACTGGAGCATGTGGGATGTTCATGGGATGTTCATCCCCCATACCATGGGTTTACCATGGTTTACCATCCAATAAGTTAGCATCCTGACTGTTGAAAAGGGTAGTGCAGGAAAATCACGTTTATTTTCGCCCCCGAGTTTCGACCTGCTACATCCGCGTCCGCAGGATCTTTTCAAGAAAGAGCAGCTGGCCACCTTGGAACGTGAGGTGGTGAAGGGCCTCAGCCGGTGTGACCAATGGTGCGAGCTTGATATTTTTGAATTGAAGAACCAGAAGTTCCAAAGGGCTGGGGACTTGAGATGAGTGGTCTTAAAACCATGCCTCCTCAACTCATATAATTTGTTTTTTCCGACTTATCGAGCTCCGGCACTGTCCCAAAGCCAATGGGATGACAAACTTCTCCCGGAGGGCAAGGCAACCCTGCCAAACATGTTCGCAAGTCAAGTTAGGCAGTGTAACCAGTCTAGTCTATATCAGGTACGTGGGCCTGTTCGACTGCCGCAACGACCTGTCACCAGTCGTCAGTTCTTTGCCTTGTATAATGCGCCTCAAAAACAGCTTATACATCTTGTAACTCAAAGAAACTAGCAGCCGCATCGCGCTGTTTATAAGACTTATATAATTAAGAGAGTTACAACTTGTTTGTACTAGTACTATATAACTTGTTCAGCTTGAATCATCTTGATTCATTTGTTCCTGACCACTTCCACTTCCACTGGTCTATGTTCCACCAAGAACCGAGACGCTCACCGCTCGCCCCGACGGATCGCGTCCCCCCAAGGCGCGGCTCACGGAACGCCTGGCCGAA